TGGTTTTAGTCTTCTGTGATCCCATTGCCTAGCACAACGTCTTTTTTGATCTCATTGTCGCTAGTCGTGGTTTATGGCCATTGTTTTCCTCCTATGATGTGAGTGTGTATTAAATAGGGAAGAAATCCTTTAAGGGTCTTTTTCGGTCTGAAGTTTAAGAAAAATCCTTTTCCTTTTCTGAATGATAAATAAGGTTTCATTAAGAAGGTACCAGGGGTACCGCCTTTACACAAAATGGCTTCAGGTAGAAGCCACCTATATACAAATTATGCACAAAAGACTTTCTAATATTTCCAACAAACTATGAGAGTGATTCAGCTCAATCCCGATAAGAGCGCTTGATCAACCAAATACATAAATTTCCTAGTCCATCTTTGAGTACCTGATACTCATAGGGTGTTTGAACTCTCATGGCACTTAGTTCTTTGAAATGAGTGAAGTTTTTGATACAGATATTCAGTTAATTTTCCTGCATGCTTTTCAATTATAGTGAAGTCTCATATATATATATATACTGATCTTTGTCAATCCATAAAGCTTATCTGGAGCTATACAAAAGGTAAATATAGTGCGTGTCGTATTTTATTCCAAGTTTAATCTGTGTTGATTCTCCCTGTATCTTCTGGTCCTAATCTGGACATCCAGATCATCCTATAGATTTTGTGGATGTTATTATTGTTACTTCCTATAGTCAAAAAAAAATTTTGGGTCGTGTTCTATAGTCGTTTGGACTCGTTAATTTGTCTATGGCTAACCAAGGTAGCAGTGGAATAGGGGTTGGCTATTTGTTTTGCAAGCTTTGCCTGTCGCTTCTAACTACTTACTGCTGTTCCATTACTGTTTGCTACCATGCACTCGATTAATCTAAAATAAGAAGACTTGGTTGTGTTTCAATAGATGACTGGTTTGCTGGTATTTTGTGATGGCTTGGGAATTGCTGGATACTCTCCAAGCTTCAGGTTTGCAATGTGTGCTCCCAAAAAAACTGAATGCCCAGTGACTCATGTTTGACATCGTTTGCTTTGCTTTCATGTAATGTCTCTTCGGGGAATTGAATGGTCTAAAGTTGCTGTAATTGGTGTGTTATTTGCGTTCCTCTGCTGTTGAATTTAGAGTAATGTCAGTTTCTTATTATTTTTATCAATTTTGAGCAGGTAAGATGTGCAAAGCGAGGGACTGTTGGAAACAATGTTAGAGCAACTGAAGCTAGAAAGCTTTTCTTGATTTGAGGAAGCATTTTTCGAAGAGGAGACTGGCGAATTGGGGTGCTAGTACTCTTAGTCTCTCATTAGGTCTTGCACTTTCTCTTGTTGGGCTTGTGAATGACAGAAAAATTCTAATAAATTTGCCATCTTCGGCTGTTGAGACTTTACAAATGCTTGGATCTGCCATCTGCTGCTTAAAAGTACCATAAATCTGTTTATTTTGCACATGCGAATCTCAAGTTTATCATTACCTTTCTTTTTCCCTTAATTATTTGCTGAAGTTTTGGAGAATGGTCTGAGTTCAATTACCAACTCAACTTAGTTAATCTTCCCTCTGTTGACTATTCTTGGAGAATTCAGTAGAAAGGAAATGTGAGCAGAAGCAAAAAATTTCCCACACAAAGCCCTCATAGCGTGTCGCGACCTAAAATTTCTCAGGCTAATGGATTGTTAAGATTAAGCCTAACTCGGGCCCTCCCAAGCCCTATCAATTCGCAACTTAGGGTTTAAGTTTTTAACATGCAAAAATTTTCATGCTTGGAGTCGCCACTAATCTATTTATGGTAGGTCGATTAGAAACCTAAATAAAACATAGGGAGATATGTTTTATTCCTACGAACCAGAGATTCTAAGCTTGGGGACTTGGTTACGCTAGATCTAGTCTAACGCCCTTTCGGTACCTTTTCTTTTCAAAAAAAATGTTTTGGCAGACAGTTTGGATTCATTTTAACTTAGTCACTAGCATGTGAGGTGATTATGCGGGTGCGCAAACCACCAAAGTAACACCCAATAATCAAAACATTAAATAAATTGCAAGATTGAGAGAATTACTTACCTCGAAGCAACGTAAACATCTGCATTATTAGCTAGAAAATCACATCAACAATCCTAATATGATTTCTAATTAACAAGCAGTTCACTTAATATTTTTTAGGATTTTCACTTATTTAAATGAAAACTAACCTATATGTAATGACGTGCAAAAATTAACATGCGATTAATGCAGCCTAACATGCAAACTATATGTCATGCGACGACGTGACCTAATTCTAATGACGGACAAATGATTTATTTTTGGTATTTTCAAATGAAATTCGGAATTAGAAAAAAATGCCTAAATTAACATGCAATCTATTCTAAAAAAAAGATAATTTAATCTATCCTAAAGTGGCTTCTTTTTGGTATTTTTATGAAAATTCGAAATCAAGAATTACCCTAAAATGAACCGTCGAGATCAGGATAATATGTAAATTAAACTAGGAAATAAATTACTCTAATTCCTAATTTAAATTAAAAAGTTATCCTATCGACTTATTCAAAGAAAGTTATTCTAAACCTATCCTAAACATGCATCATTATCTTCTAATAAAATCAATTCCAATCCTAACTAATCTTTTTTTGGAATTTTCTTTTTAAAAGAAATAAATCAAATAGATAGATAATCACCACGATCAAAACTAGTCCACACAATCCACAAGATTTGTTTTACTATCTTTGAATTAAGGAAACGATATAAACCGACGATCATATCCATGTGGTTATGGATATTGATGGAAGGCAATTCGTTTGAATTTGGGAACAAAATAAAATCTATTATCGTATCCAAATAGTTATGGATAGGATAGAGATTTTCCGTGCCATCGAGTATCGTATCTCATGGTTGAGATCGGATAGTCGTCTCGACACGTTGTTAAGTTAGGAATTTCCTAACTTAGTGTATTTTTTGGAATCTTGCGAATATGCCATGCATCATTCAAACATATCTACTAACCAACCAAAGACAACAAAATCACTCGAATTAGGAATTTAAATATTTGAAACGATATCGGATAAAGTTTCTTACCTAATTTACGGATAACTTCCAAATTCGAGCTTGATGCCGGATCGGGTTTGCGGATCGGAACGGCTGGCGGTGGGTGATCGATGGCGGACGTGGCAGCGACGGTGAGAGACGACGATGCTCGCGGATTGTCAGGAATTTTGGCTTGTCACCTGCAAAACAAAATCACGAGCGGCGATACCCGAAGATGGATGGCTAACGGGGCTCCTCGCGGTGGTGGACCGGTGGCTCACGATGCTTCACGTGATGATAGCTCTCGGCAGGACTTGCATTTGTACATGCTCGGTTGTGAGAGGGCTTTTACGTTGACAATAGCATGGGCAGTTCCACGAGGATATTGGCAAAGTGGACTTCGCTCGGATGAAGAATTTTGACTCAATCAACACTAGACCAGCCTCGAGTAATCTGAATTGTCGGCTTACAGTTTTGGGGTCGAGGATAACTTGTCGCGGGCTGATGCAAACACCGGTTCAGCAGGCGACGTCCAAGGCGAGTAGCAGGTGGCAGCACGAATAGGAACGCAGCAGTGTTGTCGTTGGACGGAACTTTCACGAGATGGAGAGCGGATCGTCGCAAATCAGATCAGCGACGTCGATGGGGCGTAGGCGACGGTAGGAGCAGCACGAGCGAGCGGCGTGGTGGTGAAAGCGGTGCGGTCGCGAGGTGGCGCGACGGTGGAGCGGCCACGTGCGCGAGCGACTCTCTCTCTTACTCTGGCTCTTGCTCACACTTGTGCTCTCTGAAAATTCTGATCTGAAAGTTATGAGAGCCCTCTTGATTGAGGGGTATAATCACATATTTATATCACAACCCTAGGTTAATTGACCGGGCTTCCTAGTCCTAATGGGCTTAGACTTAGGCTTCATCATTTAATTTTGTTTTAATTGCAAATGGGCTAAATTAATTTGGGCTGATTTAAGCTCAAATTAAGATAACCAAAACCTTTTAGACTTGTGAATTTCGGCCCCCAATCCCTTGAGTGAGCCGAGTTTCACTCGGCGCTCGAGCTCGGTTTATGCGATGAATTTTCAGCTTACTCGCCACCGCCGGTCCGATACGGAATGCAACTAACCTATATGAACTTAAACTATATGCTATGCAATTTTAATATTTTTGTTTAGGGGTTAAAATTTAATCCCTAATTTTCTATGCAATTAATCGCTAAATAATTAGTCAAAATTTAGGTGTCAACATAGCGTCTAAAGTAACAGGAAAATGAGATAATAGGAATCACATAATCTAAGCCGTTACCATATAACTGTATTTTCGTTCTCTGATCTATCTGATCGAGTTTTATCTTCTCCATATACTAAGTTTATTATCCCGGCATTGCAATCTAGGATGGTAGAAGCATACCTGCCGGAGATCATGTGCGAAAGGCTTAAAATACTTCATAAGATTTGGTGATTATCCGTTCACAACTTAATTCTTGCATTAGATTTCAAGAACACGAGGAACCAAATTCAACAAACCCTGCCAAGGCATGTTTCTTAGAAATAAAGTGATATGCCTCCAAGATGTATTTAGACTCGACATTAAATATAGACATATTTGTGAAGCTGAGAAGACAAATCTTCACAAATGTAGATAGCTACTTAAGCCAGTTAACATGGGGCTATCATTTTTGGGAAAAAGGACTTTCTCCACAAGAAAATTTCCTCCTGTTTTATCATACAGATTTCTCTTCCAGAAATTAATTTCTGAAGCAGAATTAGTCATGTTTTACCAAACAGATTTCTCCTCCAGAAATCAATTTCTAGCAAAAATTCCAGAAATCAATTTCTGGCAAGAATTTGATTTCTGGAGCAGAATGATTACCATTCGCACCCTAAAACAGAGCTTCGAATTCTCATCTCAAAAAGACGAGATCTAATTAGTTTAAAGAACCACTCCATTATCAAACTTTTCATGGCATTTGATGCATTCGTTTCAGTGCTTAACATATGGGCTAATACTGCAGATGTTGCGTGACCTGGGAGACAGAACAATGAAGCTGATGACTAACAACCCATCAAAGTATGTTGGGACTTAAAGGTTATGGCTGGACTATTGCTGGGAGAGTCCCTCCAGTGACTTCCATAACAAATGAGAACAAGACATACTTGGAGACAAAACGCTCCAAGCTGGGGCACATCTGTAACAGTCTGAATTTTCGATCCTTTTCCCGGGATTTAAGAAATGAATTTGACCAATGCACTATAGTGAGATCTTACCCGGGACTCGCGCATTCTCGGGATTCTAACCTTAGGGGTAAGGCTATTACGGGATTGAGTTCGCACGATCAAAGAACTCGACCTGGGTTCGATCTTCGACCATATGGATTGACGAGGGAATGTTTTGAGCCAACCGAGACCAGTCTATTTGATTGATCGTGTCCGAAGGGCACTAGTGACAGACCCTCGCAATTATATGACAACCGAGGTCGTTCCGGGTAGAGTAAACTTAAACGTGATTTGACTCGGTGTCGGTCACGGGTTGAGAGCGCGTAATCCTAATGAGCCACCCGTTAGCAAGAGATAAGCTAAAGTCGCGATTGGTCAATTTTAGTCATTTCTTGGAATTCGGGCCCGGGAATCGAGAATTTTGAAAAGTGATAATTTTGAGCTGCCGATGACGTTTTTGGCTTGGCCAACCTTGGGGCCACCCATCTCTGCAAAAAAATAGATTTCGGTCCGGGGCCGGAAAAATTACGGTTTTGCCCATGTGGACACCAATGTTGGATTTTGAAGTCGTTTGAGGTTATTTTTCGAGGCTAGCGTCATTTTGGGGTGGCCACGTGCATTTGGAACAGTTTTGGACAAAAATTGGAATTTCGACAAAAATTGGAAAAATAATATTATTTTATTCCCGGAACTTCGCAGTTGATTTTCGAGGGCTTAGAAAGTGAATTTCGCGATTCCGACACCACATTATGTTGGCCACGCACATATGGAACGCGTATGTGCGAAAATTGGAATTTCGCCCCGGGACCGGAAAATTACCATTTTGCCCCTGGGCTAATTTTTGGGTCCGAATTTTTTTTGGATAAATTGGGATAATTATGGATAAATATCAGCTGCATCCTTGGGGACCATTGACCCTTTTGCCCCTCTCTTTTTAGATAAGAATGAATAGGAACCATTTAATTAGGGGCATTTTAGTCCTTTTTACCTAAGCTTGACACATGGCACCCCTAATTAAATTATTTGACCAAGTTGGGTGATCTCTCTCTCTCCTCACTCACTCTCACGTGCAGACCAGCCCTCTTCAGAAATTTTCTCTCCATTTTCCCACCTTTTCTCTCCACTTTCTCTCCATTTTCCTTCATTTTCTCTCTCGCCGGAGTTTCGCCGGAGCCACGCCGGCCAACCGTTCCACCTTCCCGCTCTAGCCGAGTTAGTCTAGAGTCCGGTAAGTCGCGATCTAATCCCTATTTAGGACGTCGGGTATTTTTGGACTCGTTCGGGTATGGTTTAGAGGATTTAGAGGGTGATTAAGGTATTGATCATGATTATTGATGGTTAATCATGGCTATTGGTGGCTGAGTATGACTGTTAGTGGTTGTTGCGGGTTGGATTAGACGTCGGGAAATGAGTTTTGGCTGTTGGAATTCGGTAGAAATCGGTTCGGGCTTGAATCCGTGAGGTTCGGGGTGAATCGCGGATTCGCGGTTACTGTACCCATCCGGTTTGCTATTTTTTTAGAAAATTTTGAGGGTCGAATTTGAGGAAGTTTTCTTCATGAAAGTTGTTTCCAACATTTTGAAGTATAACATATTTTAATTTGGGAATTTTTGGAAATCATTTGATGCCATTCGGAAGTCCATCTTTGGACCGAAATAAAACTGCCCGATTTACTGTTCACCCGACCTTCGGGTCTGTTCGAATTTTTATAAATTTTTCCAGGCCTATTCTCGAAACACTTCCTTCACAAAACCTGTTGGGGACATTTGTGGCTATAACATATAAAAATTTCAAAGCTTTTCAAGGTGATTTGAGTGTTGAAATAAATATATTTTGAGGACAAAACGGTCTGTTGGAGCGAGTTGATTTTCGTCTGACTTCAAGTGACCAAAAGAGGTGTTTCCAGTTGGAACTGAGTTTCAAGTTCTTCACGAAAAATGTTCAGCAAGATGTTTTACGCAACGTGTCCAAAATTTAGAATTTTTGGAGTTCGTTTACTATTTATTTTGATGGGATTCCGGTCACTGTTTAGGGTTCGGTTTAGGGGATTTTGTGACTGTTTTAGGGGCTGTTTGGGGCTGAATTGAGAGACTGGTTATTTGGTGGTTGTGGACTGATTTGGCGATGAAAATTTGAGGTATAAAAAGCTTGGGTAGGACCGTGATGTTGTGACTGGGTTGGGGTTAAATTGTGCAATCGATCAGTGGGAATTATGCTATGAATTGAATTGTGTACGTGGTTGTGTGATTTGTGATCGTGGGCTGATTTGGATTATGCTTGGTGGATTGGTGATATGCAGTGTGTGCTTGGCCGTGAGATGTGGTGGTGTGATAGTGCATTCGTGTATTGTATTCGCGTGCCAAGAATGTGTGATTGGGTGGCGTGTTCGTGTGACGAGAATGTGAAATTGTGAAATGTGTGTGAGGTGTGCGTGTTTGGCAGTGTGTAGGTGTGGCCGTGTGACAAATGTGGTTTGAGTGGAACGAAGGTACTGGAATGTAGGATTGGTTTGAAAAGTGAGACCCTGAGGCGTGTACGTTTACGCGGGGTGAGGTCCGTCCTGAGGCGTGTACGTTTACGCGGGACGATGCCCGGCCCGACGGGGTGACGATGCCTGACGTGGTCAGAAGACCGTTGGCCTGATGCGTTTTACGCGGGCGCGGTAGAAGGAAAGTGTGTGTAGGATTCCGTCCTGAGGCGTGTTCGTTTACGCGGGACGATGCCGTCCCTGACGAGGTGACGATGCCCGGCCCGACGGGGTGTCGATGCCTGACGAGGTCAGAAGACCGTTGGCCTGATGCGTTTTACGCGGGCGCGGTAGTGGTGGAAAGGTTGAGAACGAGCGGGATTTGGCAAGACGAGTGAGAGGATTGTGAAAGTGATGCATGGTGTGAGTTGGTGTACGAGTGTGTTTGTATCGCGTGATGCAGTGCGCGATTATGGGGTAAAATCTGCTAGGTATGGTATGGGACGTGCCCAAGTAGGTTTTGCTTTATAATCGAGGCACGCGCGCGGCTGTGATGTACTGCTGTGGTATGATTGGCGCGTGTATTGATATGTGGAAAGTGTGTGATGGCATGTGTGCAAGAATTGTATGTTGGGATTGTGGGCTAACGTGCATGGTGCGTATGCAGAGAGTCCAGGTATGTGTGAATGATTGATTCCTGGTTGTGTGGTTGTTTGGTTGCGCGTTTGGATGTGTCTGGAATTACGTGATAGCCTAGGTGGGGCTTAGGTTGTGACTTATTGAGATGTGATCTCATGGTTGTTTCAACCAAACCATTTCAGAGCCCCCGCCTGAATGTCGAGATTGAGGTCGACTCGGAGTCGTCGGGTGAGCAGACAGCTGCGGAGGATTCAGGTGGTGATGCCGAGGACAGTGAGTCAGAGTGGACGCCTTCGAGAGGGCGTAGGGGATAGTTCTGGGAGGAGGATGCGCCCCATTTTTGGATAGTGCTGACCTAGAGAGCTGATCCTGATATTTTGGTGGTTTGGAGTTTATAGTTCGGTGTGCTTATAAATTATTTTATGGTTTGTATTGGCGGATGATGTAAATATTTGGAAGTGTAATATATGCTTGGTGGTTTGTCGATTTGTTCCTTCCTGGTGTTCTCCAATTTTATTGTCCGGGATTTTTGATTGCTTCCGCCGCGATTTAACTCTGATGTTTGGGTTGGGTCGGCGGCGTTCCTGGGACGTTGCACTCTGTTCGACCGGAGGTGGGATGTCGCGGGCTCGACGGGGGTTCGGGGCGTGACAACATCTATGGAGAAAGAGTCAATGGCCACTTCAGCAATCTCATCAGCAAAAACGGTAAGCTGAGCAGCACCGTTTCTTTTGATCCGGCTGTTTCTGACTGATAGGAACCACCGGATAGTTTGACTGCTAATGATTTATTCGAGGGATTCAGGCAAGTTCACTGACAGATGGTGCTATTTTACTTTTAAAGCACTAAGGTCAAGAACATTGGGATACCTGCCGACCGTGATTTTAGGAAATTTTATGGCGATTGAGTTTTATAATTATTCTGAGTGTCATTTTTGTTGTACTGATGTCATTCATTCATTTTGCAACGCCAAAAGGTGAAGATTAGCCCTCTTGTTAAAACTTCCTTTTGTACTATCGATTGCTTGCGAGATTTATCCTTAATTCAACTTTCCTTGGAATCTATGTGTATTGATATCTAGAGACCGTTGCATATTTCAAGATAACAGAGTTAGCGCAGGACATTCTTATTTTCCTTTTCCGTGGCCACCTGAACGGTGAAAGAAATTACTTCAAGAAATATACTACAGTCTCTACTATTGATCAACTCTCCATATTCGCGTTAGATAAGGATTGCTTATGACCATTTATTTTATCTATCCATGCTGTGCATGAGTTCGATTTATACTTTGTCAAATAAAGACGCAATATGCAAAGTGCTTGGAAATTAGGCACACACGCACACGGAATTTTGGAAGATGCAATGTCCAGGTGTTATGTTCACTACTCTCCAAAAAAACATCAGGAAATACATCACCATTCAATTACTTGCAGCGGAAAGTTTTGCGTTCTCTCATCTGATGAACAAAACAAAACATAGCGAAGCAGAGATTTTTCTCTAGGCACACCAAAGTTTATGCCTATGTGTTGACATTCCTTCTGAAAATGGAGACTTTGATTTCAATATTATCAATTCTAACCAGCTCGAACACACATACATCTCCTTGCTTTAGAGAAGTTCCTCTCTGAAATGCAGCCCAACTGAGAGAGAGGTTTCCCGAGCCATGTTGTGGGTAGTACAGGAGCTTCACTAGCCATGATCCGTCCAAATATTTAAAAGTTGTGGTAAAATGCTTCCATTGATGCGTCCCTTTAAAATCCAGCCTGGGACAATCTGCGCAGTTGATTTTGATCAACAAAGGATCTATGAGTAAGAACGTAAAAGGTATGATGACTATCACAAGAAATGTTAACCGGACCACATTTGTATAATCTCATAGGCAAACCCGAATCATATAGAATATAATGACACCTTATCAGAAGGTAATAGATTTCATTTTTATCCAGATTTTGCACATAAGAACTATTATCTCAGGATCTTTTCTTACCACATTTTGCTTCAATAGATTATGTGACTGGATAACTGCTTTGAATGAAGGATATTGCAGCTCGTACTTCTTGGCTGCTTTGTGAGCCGTAGTTACCCGCGAACGTTTAGAAGTAGAACTACCGGAAGCCAGCATGGTAGGGCTCACCTTGTGTTTAGAATTTTCCATCCTACCTGAATTAGTCAGGCAGAGAGCATAAGAGAAACTGACACAAAGCATATGCACTACTAATAGGCTAAGATTCACACACCTTCTGAATCTTGTGGCAAAAGCTTAGCTCCTTGATCAGTTTGGAAGCCTTTGGATTTGGAACCAGATGCGAGTACAATTGCATGTGAAATAGCAGCATCATCGACATAACTAACGGGACCAGAATATATCACCTTGGAAGGCTTATGATGATATGGTTTTCCATGCAATTCATCCTTCTCGTTTCTCTTCAGCGAGAAACCATCTAAACTTTGAAGCTCAACTGAGAAAGTACAATGATCATCGGCATCTCCCATATTAGGTGTATGGTAAGCTTTAGCCTTCCAAGCCTTGGTATGTCGAAAAAGAATTAAAAAGGAAAAAAAAAGAAGCTTACAAGCCTTCCAGTTTGAAGCGTCTGAGAGAGTATGATCTTGAAGAAATGAGGTGTCTCCGGTGCAAAACTTTGCCGGTGCCGATGCTCTTCATCTTCTCTCCAGAGACGAGAAATCATCCCTTGAGGACAAGTTGTTTTGATGAGTTGTGACATCTCGACCTTAACTAGTTCTGTGGCTTTGTAGGAGCCAACTTAATTAAATGAAGCACTTAGTTGGAAAAGACATTCATTTCTGGGATGAAAAAATAAAAGAAACAAATGAATGTTGGAGGAAGCTCATTTGATCGAAAATGTACCAAGAGGAGTATGTTAGAAATTGATGTCAGATTCCAACGTGCCACGTTAACAAATTTGGTTGAGTGGTGATCGGGAAGGACTCCACTACATCTGACTCAAAACGTGCATGATTTAATCGCACTTTTTCAAAATTTATAACTTGATTGTACATTAAGCAAAACGTCTAAGATTTTTCAATGCAATCTCCTAAAAAAATTGAGATGGTTAGGTAAGTTATGAAAAATGAGGATGGTGTGCATTAGGCAGTTTACGCTGAGGTGGCAAATGGTGAGAAAATTATGTTATTTACCTATTTATTATCAATCCGTTATCATGTCATGAGTCATTTACTCATGGTTATAAACCACGGCCCACATGACTAATCCGTAGCATCTTTGGGTGAAGAGACAATTCTACCCCTGATTTTAGCATCCACGTAAGAAATTTGTTCCCATTTTTTATTTCTTAATAAAGCCGACATCTCTCCCTATTTTTGTTCTCATCAGCAGCTTCCCCTTTACTTTGCAAAAGTGTGGATTTATTAGAGAGAAATAGGGAAATTGGAAATGGAATCACTACCTCAATAGAATTTTCTTCATCTCAGTTTCTGATTGTGCCTCGGTAACTTTGAGATCTCCGTACCCCCTGTAGCACCTGCCATTCCCTTTTATCAGTGAGTAGACAAGTTAAAAAGACGAAAATTTTAGAACTCATGGTGAGTCAGGTGTCGGCAATTTGACGAGCAGAGGCAAGCCGAAAAAAATAATGGACGAGAACGACATTAATTGGATCTTACCAATTTTAAGTGCATTTATTTATGCTGATAACTTTTGTATGGTTGTGTTGAGATCACCCTCCAAGTTCCAATCCCACTCGTATCTGAACAGTCTCGCATATTTTAGTTGTGGTGTGATTAGCGTACCCTTAGAAAAGATCTTCATTTTCGAGCACTCTTCCACTTCAACATAGTACAAGGATGGAAACCTGAAGCTGCAACTTGTGCCGGAGGAGAAGCATTCTAGGCTTGGCAGATTTTGGAGTCTCAACCAACTTAGCTTCCCAAAAGAAATCACCATTCCTTTTTCGTTTTCATCGTTTGTCACTACTTCTTTCATTCTTTCACATCCTATTACAGTCATGTTAATAAGATGTACCAAATTTGTGACTGCTGAAACTGTCACTAGATTTACCAATCCAGAGCAATTCTTCACCACAAACTCCGTCAAATTCTGGAAGGATGTCACGGCTGGAAATAATGTTGTCAAACCAGGACAATCCCAAACCTCAAATTTGTGAATACTCTGAAGAACTTTTGTCACTAAATAGTCTTTTCTCCATACACGTTTTAGGTTGGGTAGCTTGCTTAACTTAAGTTCTCTTAAATTTTCAAGCACCGGATATTTTCCCTCGTCAACAAGCCCTTCATCAAGGAATATATCTTCAAAAGAACTACAGAAGACCTCAAGGCTTTGTAGGTTTTGAAATCTTTGTAGGAGAAATATGGGAGGAAAGACGGCCCTTTCATCATGAAAGCATGCCAATGTTAGTGCTTTTGGCTTGCCAAAGATGTCATCGGAAAATTTTCCATTATGTATCATCCGAATATCCTTATCGACTAATAAAAGTCTCTCTAAGGTGGGAATGACCTGCAAAATTGCCAATACAATGAGAGAAGTAAATTCAACAAGGTTCAGCAATAAATCAACTTAAGTTGGTTAACTCCCATGGAAGGGGGCCCTGTGCTATAAAATGCAAACTATAAACAAATGCTACACTATGGCCATCCGCCCACCAGGGTAAGCTGTGCGCCCATATAATAATGATTAAATAGAAAGGGAAAGAACTGTATTGGCATATAAAATGATCAAACAAACAAATGAAAATCCATTTTACCCAAAAAAAAATTCAAAAGAAAGATGGTCATCATGCTACGATTTGAAAAGGAATTGCTAAATGTCAATGCCCGATTCTCAATTTAGTCCATAGGAAATTCACATTTTTGATTCGCATCGAAAATTTTTACGAGAATTTTTAAGTAGAGGCGGTACGGCAACAACCCTGACCAAATTCATCTTTTATTAGGAATATCTTATTCTGTCAACAAAAAATGTAGTTCCTTGAAATTTCAGGTGATGAGATGCACTGATAGTGTTACTAAAAACATTCTAGGTGTCCACATATGAAAAGTGTGCTTAAAGACGTTCGAAATATTTTGTGTTATCGACAAACTGATAGGCAAGGGATATCATGTTTTCTATAATATCATGATATGACTTGACTATACAGTGGACATAAGACTAGTAAGTGCTTTAAAGAAAAAAGTAGAAACCAAGGGAGAATAGTTGTAATCATACCCTCTCAAATGAAGAGTGTGCTTCTTGGTTTGAAAGTTCCTGTTGATCATCTCCCTGAGCCCATTTGTTCATGGTCGCAGCAAAAGACAACATGTTTAGTTTGTCACAATGAGTCACTCGCAATTTCTTCAAGAATGGCCAATTCAAAGTAGGCGACTTAGGGCAAAAGCTCTTGAGTCGTGGCATATCATGGAACACCAGAGAGGTCAGTTGTGGGAAAAGAACTTGATTAGTAGTCGAGTGTGGAGTGCCATCTCCCCTCATGACTATTTCCTCGATCCAACAAGACTCCACTCGAAGCTTCTCAAGTTGGGTCAGACTTGTAGCCACCCAATGCGGAAATAGATTTTCAAGGCTCTTACAATTGTCAACCTTCACTTTCCCTAAATGTTCAAAAGTGAGAGTATCTCGAGGACTGTCGGTCCATATCTTGCTTAAATTGTCCATGTGGGAGAGAACCATCGACTTAAGCACAGGAAATTGTACCTGCCATATTGAAAAAATGATACAATAAATTTGAATACATCGAGTTATGACCTCAAAGAAGGAATTTCCAAACTTCCCTTCCTCTCACAAATCATAACATTCTAGAACTTGTTAGTGACACAATCCAGGAGGGGTTGCTTGATGCTTTCATTTCAATTGACTGATGACTAAGGTCGAGTAAATTGCATTGGAACAAGTATGAAATGCGGTGCGACAAAATAAATTACCTTTTGTCCGTACCACATGTTAATACACATGCATGAAAAAGATAGGAGAACATTTTTCCTTGAGTTACAACCCAAAGAACGCAATTACGACCTCAAATACCTAATGAATACTTTTGCAATTTCCTAAAAATTTCATGTTATTTTAAGGCAAGTTTCTTACACAAACAAGGATCCCTAGGCAAATGCAATTAGTCTTCAAGAACAAATGAAACATGTTATGTCAAAATAGTTTGTGATACAAAAATAAAAATAAAAAATGAAACCATTCTATGAGCTGCTATGAATTGTTCATTTAAGAGTCTGTATGGAAATTTCATTTCATTATGATAAAATTAATTAAAATACGACATGCTACAATCTCAATTACCAAATGCATATTTCCACAGTTCCCTATGTCCACATACCATGGAAAAAGATAAGTTTGTCATACAAGTATCGAATGGTCTACCGAGATATCTGCGTTAGTCCAACGATCCCTATGAGCACATTATGTTTTTTGCAGAAAATCAACGATGTTATGAGCTCTTATGACTTGTCCACTGAGATGCGAGTATTGACATTTTTTTATATGGTTTCAATAAAATTAACGCAATTACGACTTATCACTACCAAAAAACAGAATGACTATTTCCATAATTCCCTAAATCCATTAATATTCTAAATTGAGGATTATTATGAGTTTTGAAATATTTTAAAAAATGTGGGGGATACCTTATATTCGACAAATAAATAAAATAACGTTATTGCAACTTGTCACTAGCAAACAAATCAGGTGACTAGTTTCATACTTCTTTATCTATTAGTATTCTAAAATGAGTATTATGATGTCTTTTTGAAGTATTCCAACATATTAATGGCATTAGAAGTAAATGCACAACTAGTAGTAACTCTTATCGTTAAAGAGTAAACAGAAGTATGGATGCTAGTTATGATGAAACGTTCTACTCAGACATAAGAATAAAAAAAATAAAAATTGGGCAAAAGCATTAGAATAAGAAAAAAAACTCAAGCATTTCCTCCGTCAGAAAAGAAAGCAATAGTTAAAACCTGTAAAGAATCTGTAACAAAAAGAGGAGTGATGGAAAAATAGACTAACCTGAACAGTTGGTATGTGTTTATTGCCTTTCTAAGAAATGATGAAATTTAAAACAAATTTGGTAAAGATATTTGCTCGGGTAATCTGAATTCAATGAAAGTAAATTTGAAAATTGACTTGTACTCTTCGAAAAATTAGTTGGTGGTGTGTACATGTATTTCCTTGTTATTCTACTTCGACGGCAACCTCTCCTAAATTCAATTTATAATCAATAGTACATTGAACATTCACTTTTAATTGGCTTATTTCACATTCAATACTGGTAACGCCTTCTCCCTCTAATTTTTGGAAAGTTTCCGTGATGACTTCCTGGAAAGTTCTCTCAATTTGAATATTAAAAAACAAAAAGTTGCTTGCAATTGGTTTGTAAGGTAACAATTTGGAAAATTGTCCAAAAAGAACTAAACTTATTACATTTGTGCCAATTCAATCTTAAATTTTTCAATTGTGTCAATTTAGTCTCAAACATTTTGACGTTTTGCCAATAAAGTCATTCCGGCCAATTTTGGCCGGAAAATCGCTCACGTGGCAGTTCAGTCAGCACCCACCGTCTTATGTGGCACTACCAGCAATGTGACATGGACAAATTGAATCAAAATGATGTCATTTTGCATAATTTTATGAATTATTTTCCTTTTTGTGTTCGCTGTTCATCATCTTCCTTAACCCAATCCCATGCTTTCCTCTTCAATCTCTAAGAAAAGTTTCGCCTCCTGACTAAATCGGACTCAATCTTGGAGCTGATTGCATTGCACCAGAAAATGAACACTTCCTTCTGGCAGGTACGCTAGAGAGTGCTTTCCGTCATATTGTCTTGCATACAACTGCTAAATTTTTTTGCGCTTCAACTTGAAGGTGACGAACTTGAACTTGAGTTGATTTACCATCCGTTAGTTATATTATATAGTAGATTGAAATTAACTCATGGAAAAGGGAAAAAAAGAATAGAAAAAAGGAACTTGCGAGTTGATTTCGGGGAGCATAATGGGTTTTAAAGATATAGATCAGAACACCCAAATCGTTTTTTAAAGACTTTTAACCTAACTCCATGCCACAACGGAGCTCAAGCCCTCCAGATCCGGATGCTCATGGTCGACGCTGCAGCAAAGATCGAGCCCTCCAGATCTAGGGCTCAAGGTCAATGCGCAGCGGATCTTGCAATCGTCTGGCTTGGTTGAGATCATGAAGACGCCGAGCTCGACGGCATTTCCAAACAACGATGGAGGACAGAGTAAGAAGAAGATTGGTTTTCTTTTTTTCTTCTACGTTCAGCGAAGATGGAGGACAAAGAAACAAGAAAATGAATAGTAATGTGGAAAAGAATGAAAAAAATAAAATTTAAAAAAAAGGAAAGAGAAAAAGAAAAATATTCAGAAATTTTGAAATTTTGCAAAAATTGTCACATAGGATGGCCAGCGTCCCCGTCAGTTATTACCAGCTAAAATTTAGCCGGAAGGACTATATTGACAAATCATCAAAATGTTTAGGATTAAATTGACATAATAAAAAAGTTTAGGACTGAATTGACATAAGTACAGTAGGTTCAAGACTTTTTGGACAATTATCTCGTAACAATTCTTTGATTTGTTTGCTTCAAGTTGAACATGCAATTGGTTTTCAGTTGACCTTCGTAACAACAAATTCTTGGTTTGCGATTTCAGTGATTGGGAAGATTTCAGTTTAACCAATTTGTGAGTGGGTTTACAATTGTGAAGTTTTAGTTGGTGTTGACACCAAACTACAATATTTTATAGCCTGTAATAGGTAACCAACTTCTTATCCTTGATTGATACCGTGTGTTGAGGATTTCGGAGGCAAAAACAAAAGAAAGAAAGAAAGCGGATGTTGCATTGGACTGGAACTAAAATTGTTTCTTGTGACGCATGCAAAGCACCATTCTACTTCCAAATTCCAATCACTGGCATTCCATTTGTACTTCCATTTGACATGATGATTAATCTAAAAAACAAAAGCATTGGATGATGAAAAAGAAGACTGACCTGTGGAGTGAAGAGCGAAGGAGTGTGGTGGTCAATCTCCGTCAAAGATTGCCAAGTCAAACTTCTCATGTTGGGGCAGTGGGCAATGGTCAGATATTTTATTTTGGGACAATCCAGCGTATGATTCTTCACCGAGAGGAAACTAGTCAAATTGGGCAAGCATTCCAGCTCCATCCTATAGAGATTCTGGAATGTAATCTTCTCCATTGAGCTTCCCTGCCCTTCTTCCTCTGCAATCACTCCTTCCATCTGACCACACTCCTTTATTTCCATCCGCCATAGATTGGCAAGGCACCGAGCCATCGATGGAGTGAAAGCATGTCTCAAGTTACCACAATTATAAAGGGTAAGACTAAACATACTATTGAAGCGCAATGTCCCTTGAAGATCGTTGTTCCATAGTCGCCTCAACTTTGGTAGATTGACCAAGTCTAGAAACTGTAACCTAGGCAGCACCCGAGTGCTTTCCACTACCTTCAATCCTTCAAGATCGAATATTTCTTCCAGCGACCCACAATCGCGCACCCACAATCTTATCACGTTGTGTAAAAGAAGCATCAATCTGGATGGAATAACATTAATAAATGATGGACATTTATCCACCATCAGTGATTGTAATTGCCAAGATAACTTGATGGGATTAAGTTCGCTGTGCCATTTTCCAATCAGCTCAGGGAACTCAGACAGCCGCAAAAACTCTATTCCAGAAACCGTAGCCTGTTAGAAAAAGCATCATTAAATGTAAACGTCTATTTAGCACAAAGAAATTACTCTATTGGTGATGAAGACCATCCAATGGCACAGAATTTGGTAAACAATGCATACCATTTCTTCAAACATATTTTGGATGGTGATGTTGAGGTCTCCCTTCCAAAACCAAGCTTCCGTTGATACTTGTACTCTCTCCAGCTTTGGTGCCTCTATTGATCCCCTAGAGAAGAACTTCATGCTGGGACATCCACTCACAATGACATCTTCCAAGAGAGGGAACTTTAGAGTGTAATTAATTGAGCTGAAACATCTCAACCCTGTCAACCCATCAAGCTCCATATACTTCAATTGATTGAAAGCCAGCACAAGCCCCTCCTCACCTCCCTCGTCACAAATGACTTCTGTCAACTTTTTACAGTTACTTATCCTCAATTTTGTGAGTTTTACCAAATTTCCAACTATTGTCGATGTAAACATATTGGATAACCCATCACAACGTGACACATCTAGAATCTTGAGGTTTTGATAGAATCTTGAAAAGGGTAATAGTACTTTTTGCTCATGACTTGGACCTTCTATGGCTTTCATAATGATGCTTAGCTCTTCTAGATAAGATTTGCATACAACCAGCTTTTCCAAGTTGGTTAAACTTTGAACAAAACGATACGTGGATATAGCAGGTTCCTGCGAGCAATGATGAAGCTCAAGAACTCTTAGCTTGCAGAAGAATTCTCCATCATGAAAATGTCCATTCCATATCTCCATCCGTTCGAATAAATCCAATTTTAACTCTTCTAGATTTGGGAATGCGCCCTGAGAAATTAGTCAAATCAGAATCTGAAACCAACTTAGTTAAAAGAGTATTCATGTGTTATGGTATAAGTCTTGCCTATCGTGCACAATAACTACGTTTTAAGATGTTGAGTCTCATATGATTTACCGGAAGGAAATGCGCCCTCATGCAATAGACATTATGACCAATTTTTTATATTTGACTTGTACCCATATTTGAACTCAAGTAAATCCCTACATTCCCATTTTTACAGATACATACCTCGTGAAAATAACTTCTCCATACAATCACAATTGCACAAATTTAAGAGATTAATGTCAATAAAAATGTCACATCTTTCCGTTTTTCAGCATAAAATCAGTCATCTTTACATAGTCCAAATTAGATAACACAATTGCTCCTTGGTAACATCACACCACATGCCACGTATTTTAAATCTTCATGGTACTTAAGAGAGAGCTGAATGATTGGAATTAGCCTAAACCTTTTTTCAAATCAACGGTTTTGCATTGTGTTAGACATTGACAAGAATGTTCATTCAATATTTGAAGAACATACGATGTTTCCATGTAGTAATAGTTCTATGGATTCAAGGAGAGGCGTACAGTTTACATCTTCATATGTATAGCTACTTGTATGAGATGCTTGGTTGTGACCTTACTCAACACTTCGAATATTCACCATCGAAGCAAAACAAATAATCTTGGGTCGTACCTTTTCTATCAAGAACAGAGGTTGTTTATGAAGTGGCATCTCATTATTGGGTTGCGAAGCAAGTGTCTCCACTTTGTTACAGCCATGCACCTCCAAGGTCTTCAATGCTGGCCAACGTAAAGCATGTGTTCCTGTGTAGATGCACTTCAACTCCGTTAGATACTTAAGCTGGAGGGAGGTTAACTTTGGGAAGACAGCCTCAAGAACTAGTCCTTCCTTCTCGATGAGTTCCACAATGCCACATTCATTGATCTCTAACTCCTCAAGTTGGGTTAGATGTATTGCTACTGAGGCTGGAAACAGAGAGGCGAGGCTCTTGCATCTGGAAATGGTAACAGAATGGAGACACTGGAATTTGACTTGGCTGTGGAGTTCCTTATCCCATACACACTTTAGCTCTGGTAATCCACCTAAGTTTAGCTTTTTTAACGGAAAACGAGCAATGGGATGTCCATCTAGAGGATTTAGCGGCTGAAGGTTGAAAACAACTTCAAGCGAACCACATGATCCTACGTCCAAACTTTCCAGGCTCTTGAGCCGACCAAGAATGCAAGAAGGAACGATGTTCACTAGCTTATTGCATTGATAAACACTGAGCGATTTCAGTTTGTGGAAAGACTCCGCAGCAACTTGATTGTCCCATATTATCTCAATATTATCCATGCCAACGATGTCTAATGTCTCCAAGCTAGGAAATGCAACCTGCGGTATTCGCTCACGAAATTAGTGATTCTGTTAGATTAAAAGTTCATGAAGTTCCATGACATACAGCAAAGCTTGAGGAAGAGTGTTAGCATTAGAAAGAAAACGATGAAGATACTGTGATTAAAAAGACAACTAATCAACCATCAGAAGGTGCACTACAGAAGTAGCTGCTCGCACTAAACCTTGAAATCAAATTATGAGTTTCTTAATTGTGGTAAAGAAAATTTACGAGATGCAAGGAACCGCATGGACGACGCGTTGGTCCTGACAATCTTGGTCTATAGATTGGGGTCGTCTTATTAGATGCGTTCGTGAACGCATCCTCATCTTGCAAAGGTCATACCAAATATTGGACAGACCGCACAAAGCAATAAGACAAACAAAGCTTTTTCGTTTATGTTTTGTCGTATATTAGTCTCTCCATATTTTTTAGAAATAAGTATATTAAAAATCCTAAAACTTGTCACGAAAGTACAATCAAGTTCTAAGGCTTTCAAAAAGTGCAAACAAGTTTTAAAACTTGTCAAATTGGTACGATCAAGTCCATCAATTAATTGCACTTTTTAAAAGTCTTAGGACTCGATTGCATTTTCGTGACAAGTTTTAGGACTTGATTACATTTTTGAAAGTTTTAGAACTCGACTGCACTTTTGTGATAAGTTTTAGGATTTGATTGCAGTTTTTTTAAAGTTTTAGGACTAAATTACACTTTCATAACAAGTTTTAGGACTTTTAGTGCACTTATCCCTTTTTTTTAAGGACGGTTCAAAAGGCAATATGAAATATTTGAAAACAAAAGGGACGATATTCCTTAATCTTAGTGGACCTTAATTTTGGCGGTTGGTTGTGTTGTTTCTCCATGATAACTATGCTACTTCGATAAAGTAATAGTGGTTAATTTGCCCATATTAGCAATATTCATTTTTCATTTTATTTGTGAGGGTTTGTGGGACCACACCGCCAACTGTTCTAAAAGCTTAAGCAGTTATTATTAAAACAGTTGGCAGTGGTTCCACAAAAATCTAACATGATATTAGAGTAGGAGGTCCTGAGTTCAAATCTTTCTACATCCCTATTTGTCTCCCCAATTACATATTTACATGCGTTAGGTCAAGGCCAAAGTCTAGCCTACGCATGAGGGGAAGTGTTAGAATATTTAAATATTAAATCACGTCTTCATCTAACAGCTTAAATTTTTAAAACAGTTGGTAATGATCCCACAAGATTTCACATTACTAAATTTAGTTTCATGTTTCATTTTGGACGAGTTTAACTTCAAAATTAGTGTATTAATCCCCATAGTCTCTTTGTTAGCCCTTTAGGTTTCTATTAATTTTACTAATATACTAAAATTAAAAACGTGCAATACAAATAATGTTACGATTTCTTAAGTTATAATCTTTAATATCTCTAAAATATACGTGAAATATGTCAAGGACATCATTACTTCCGGTTAAAGTCAATATAAATTAATTTTATTCAATATTATATCACTCTAAAGCAATTAAAAAGTCAGGCTAAAACAAAACAATGAAAAACGGGATTATTGCTTTGGTCAAAATGAACAAATCTTAACTTTTATCATTTTACACTTGAAAGAACTCAATATACTCAATTGATTGAACTTTCCTTTGAAGATTCGTAACTATTTTACCGTGTTGGATGATCCAATAGTTAGATAACATTTGTAGTTCATACGACTAACAAAGTCCAATTATCGAAAATAGTCCTAGATATCTCATTAAAGAAGATTAAAAATATCTAATAAAGTCAACATATCAATCCTATTGAAGGGCACATTTTCACAGAATAAGGCAGATCTTGTAAGTACAAATGAAGTCACATGCGTCTCAAAGGCCCTTACTGCTTTCCTCTCAATTTTTTTCAATTGTTTTCCTGCACATGCTTGCAATGTCCAAGCCGTACATGTGAAATTGCTGTGAATTTTAAGTTTTCTTGAGATGTTCATCCATCTTTATGGAAACTATTTTCCAAAGAAATAATAAGTAAGAAATTGCAACTCATACATGTCTTCCACTTTGAACACTTACACTTGCACACTACTCTTTTTTTTTTTTTTTTTTTCTTGGTATGGCGAATAAAAAAAAAACTGTTTAACAGAAGAATTGAGTTTAACAGAAGAAGGTGGTGGGACCACCGTTTGAGGGCAATTTAGTCAAGTTGTACTAAAAACTGTGCCTCCTCTTACAGGTTGTCGGAATTGCCTTGCCCTAATCCTAAAATATTTTTTTCATTGATTATCACGGTAATTAAGGGTATTCCGTTTTCTAAATGATGAAAATAAAGTACATCGACCTGTTATCAGATTAACCACAATATTAGAGTAAGAGAGTTTCTTTTTTATCCAACCAGCAAGTGATTTATCAAACACTGCATTTCCAAATTCAAACTCGATATCGGAAAACTCAAATTTTAAAATGAAATATGTATTTTGATTTACAGTTAGATATTGCAGACACATATTTTCCATATTTAATTAAAGTAAATGATGATTTATAACATTTTATGAATACTTATTACAAAACGATTGAGCGTTGACATTGCCAAAAAATGATCATCATTTCAAGTAATTTGGCTACGACAATATTTATGGATGTACTATCGTTGAAGAATTTTTATTGAATGGTCAAATGTGAAAACAAACTTTCTATTTTAGTTTTGAAATTGACAAAAAGAATTTTGTTTGTAGCAGTCCAATTATTCAACACAACTTCAATTTTATTTTCCAATTTAATAGAGTATATTTGAGAACAAAATTAATCTTAAAGATCGCCTATCAAATCTAATACAAATAACATACGTGTATGTGTGTGTCAAACTTATGTGATTTTTTTTGTCCTCGTGTTTTTTTTTTCTCTTTATTTTTTTTACTTTCCCTTCCTCGTGTGCATTTATGATTGGAGTTTCTCGTTTTTTTTTTCCTCAGTTCTCTTAATGCGATTATGTTTACTTCCCGATTGTCTACTTCTTACTAGGTCTACGTTGTAATAAAATTGTCCAATATTTAATTTCTTTTTAGCTTGCTTTGATGATATCTTGATTTTTCTAATTGACTCAAAATGTGTTGATTCAAAAAGAGTATACTAGAGTTGTGTATAATCTACCTTTTGACGTGACAAACATTTCTATTGTATTAACAAGAGGGTAGCATGTTCTTTTTTTCGTCACTCGAGTAATGCTATTTGCATTTACCACGAAATTCATCCATCCTTTGAGTATCAAAGTACCCAAAAGCAATTGTACATGCCCGTGAAAACTAGTAAAATTTTATAAAAAAGATAAGAACTGAAAGGGATGATAATTTCTTACACGAATCAACATGATCGTAAATAATTATCTGACAAATTCGAAAATGATACAAATTGATACAAACTTAATATACATAAATTTTATAGCAAAATTAAGAAAAATATAGTGTACTCCATTGAACATGAATTGCCAGCGAGTCTTTTTTTTTATTTATAGAAAGTACTTATATCTAGTTACGTCTAGATTGAGTAGCCGCAACAAAGTACTTATATTTGGTTACGTTTGGAAGAAAGATGCTAACATGGAAGCTTCAGAATGTTCAAAATATTTTGCACAATAACCTATATGTCTACCCACCTGGCAGAAGCTGAGACACTCCTTCGCGTGACTCCTCTTTCTTTAATTACTGGGTAATTAGCAGCATTCTCATGCGCTGTACGGGCGTAGAATTTTTCGTTTATGTAAAATCAGAATATGTATTTTAATACAAATAATTAATTAAAGTGTATCTCATTTTATATGAATCTCCTTCATTTTGAAAAAAAAGGCTAAATTCTTAACTCGTATTATGTAAAACATAGGGATTTGATAACATTTAAAAATTCCTAATTGTCATTATTATATGACATAGTGTGATTTTATATATGTAGTATAACATTATTGTAATATTGAGAGAAAATTACAAAACTCATCAAAAGACATATATAATATGAAGAGGTACATTTCCAAGGATTGGGTTTGACTTGCAACGCTAAAACTCATTGAAACTAATGGCATCGAACAAGGCAACCACCTAAGAGAATTGAGGAATTTTTTATGGAAGCAAGATGAGTGGAAAGTACCAGAAAAGTTCCAATCGCGAGGAGAATGATCATCTTGCAAATTAAAAGTTGAAGTGATAGCCATTGAGGATATTAATGAAGAGTTACTCTGTAATAATATAATTATATAAATTTTCCAGGTGCTAATTCAATGATGACTTGGTAACAGTAACACGTTCAGAAAAATGGTGTCTGCCACACCGATAGTTCGTCAGAAATTTCGAATTTTTGGTCTAAGTGCATAAATTATAAAGAAATGAAAATTTACTGCCTTGGGTGATTAAATTAAAGTTCGACGACTATATTACAAAATATTTTAATATATAGTTAAAGGGAGTGACTTTAACCCCATAATTTGATAGTTCACAATTGAGCTCATTGAAGATAGTTATCCAACTTTTGTATATATAGTGACTCTACTTTAATTCCTTCATTTCAATTTAAAATCACAATTTGAATAGTAACTCTACTTTGACTTATCCAGATTTATGGTGCAGTGATTATGTGGAACGCAATCAATTTTAACCAAAGTGAGCTTGGTGATTGTGCTTTGTCTCCAATAGAACTAACTATTTATTTGTTAATTTTAATTATTTTCTTGTCAGAGTTAATATTAATTATTTAGCTGGCTGGCGTAGTAATTATTTATAATTTCTTAATAATTTGATGTGATTGATCCAACTCTTATTGATGTAAATTGAAACCTGCCAATTGTTTGTAGTGCCATGTGGCAACTTGAAATGCACAGCATGTAAACTTCTAAAGTGCTGTAACACATAAAATTGATGCCAAGCATTTTACTCCATCAGATTGTAAGATTTTGACGTAACATTAATCACGTACCTCTTGATTGAAGAGGGTAGTAGAGCACGATTTGACGCAGTCCTCACTCTGAGCTTCTCGTGAACCTATCATCGATGTTTAAATAGATGAAACGAATGTCATCTTTTACATTGCATGTATGAACTAATCTAAGAAGATCTTCTATGATGAAACCAAAAAAATCAATCTTACATTCTCTGCGAGAGAAGCACGTCAAACTTTCCAAACTTGCAAGGACTAAATTGGTTAACATCGGGAATACTAGAGTTTCTGTTCTTAACCCTTCTTCCTCCATAAGGATCGCCTCCATCTTCTTGCAATCTAATACCTTTAGTTCTCTCAATTGTGAGAGAGATTGAACCACGGATGGCAAAAATAGAAACACGAGGTTGTTACAACCAGACACACGTAACTGCTTTAAATTATGGAATCTCACGATTCCACAAGGATTCTTGTTCCATATGTGCCTCAAGCTTGGTAAATCATCTATATTGATGGTGCTTAGCTCAGAGAGAGTCTCAATATTTGCATTGGCGCCTAGTCCGTCAAGGTCAAAAATTTCTTGCACCGAAACACAAGCTTCTACCTCTAAAGTGTGTAACTTGTGTAGGTTTGCCAGTGACCTAGAGTAAATAACCTTTGAAATAGATTTGCATGAAGACACCTTAAGAAATTGGAGGTTGCTCAGCCCTAATGGAGATTCATCAGTCCATATATCTTCCAGATTGGGAAGTCCAACCATAGTCAAGGACTCCAACGATGGGATTGAAACCTGACAAATAGACCCATCAGCAATAGCATCTACAATTACAAAGAGTAAGCAAGAAACTTATGTGCTATAGCAGGTTATTACAAATAATTGCAAAAGAAAACTTACGAACTTTAGGATAATTTTTGCATTTACAAAAATCTATGATAAAAAAAAAAGCTAATTTACAATCCGAAAAGATATTTTACGACCCCAAAAACAACTAACGAACTTCACTTTTTATTTAAAATATTTTCGTGGATGGTATTAGGAGGAGATTTTGTTTGCAACTTATAAACAATAAGGGAAACTACAGTCATCAAGAAATAGCATTCATTCAGTTTGCTAATGACTACGAAACTTAGTGATCCATAACACAAAAGGAAGTACATTCAAGGAAAATTACTTTCTATAAGGTAAACTACTTCCTCTTAGGTTATGTTACTACTTTGATGATACATTACTCATTTTATTAGATGATTGTTAGAAAGTACTATACTATCTCACAATAGAGATTATTACGATGAAAAAAAATAAAGAAACTGTAGAATGACCGTGATTACGAAAGATATAGGCAATTTACTAACAAAGGAAAATATCTCATTAGAATAAGCAAATTATTATGCTATAAGACCTTAATTACAGAAGGTATGTCTAAGTACTACCTACCTAAGGAAACTTAGCAATTTCGAAAAGAAATTTAATACTTCACCGGCAAAAATTACTATCATAAAAGTTTAGTTACTGCAAGTAGCTTCCTTTCTTTCACCGCCTGTGGGCCACCAACGCACCTTAGCCCACTTGGGCTTATCCAGGCCCAATCCATTTATGCGTGCAATATTATAATTTTTCCAATAAGATCCAATGAAGTAATGTGTATTTATCCAATGACATGAGGAAGTTGTTTTTAAAAATTGCGCTATAACTTGTATCTTTCTCACAAATGGTAGGAATTGGTAGTTCATTATGGCTAGTACCTTTTATCCTTACTATTGACTACCTGGGTGTGGAGTTATACCTATTGTCTGCGGCTCGCACGAATAGTTAGACACGTGGCACATATTTTTTCTTTGTTCTTTTTTTTTTCTTTTTACCATATTCTTGTTCTCTGTCTATCTCTCTCTTCATGTCACCGAAGAATCAACCACAGGAAGGCGCAACAGTGAGCTGTGGCCGGTCATGGCGGTGGCCGATGAGTGTGGCGACAACGGGGCCCAAAAAAAGAAGGAAAGCAAGATGACACGTGTCGGCCATCCATGCGTGTCGCAAACATCCATACTCAAACTTCCTTTTATACTTCATAAATCTTCGTTGGCAACTTAAATTTCTCTTCATGGAAGTTCACGGGACCCGCAAGTTAAATTTGCACGATTCTTTACTAACAGGGAAACTCACATATTGCACGAGTCTTGAACTCCATCATCAACTTCAATGATAATTACATCATTATAAAAGGACGATCATATCTAAGTCAATGCAAACGCTCTAAGCAATTTTCGCTTTCCTTAATTGGAACATTGTTTATCCTTAGTTTACTTACTTCTCTAACTAACAATAAATGATAACATCACATTGCTATGCTCAATACGCCATAATTTATATAACCAAATTTCGGAAGTAGATGTGTACCGCTTTAAATCTTCATGGGGGATTTCGTGTAGTCTTTCCTAAAAGTTGCTCACTAATGCCTACGACTACGAGATATTAGCACAAGTTGAAGATTTATGTTTTTTTATGCCAAATGCTTACAATATATCTATATCTTTTATACAATTTTGTATGCTTGCACGCATGAACATGCACGAAATTGTGTACTTTTATAATTATAGGTCCTATGCAATGACTAAGTGCTTATTGAAATAGACGATATGAAAAAGACGTGCCTAAATTAGATTAGCATTGTTGCTACTATTTGAAAACCCAATCCCCTTGCCCATTCTTCGTATTGTTTTTTTACCTAAGTCACCTAGATATTATATTTTAGAGATAATAACAAAGTTAGATAACTAAATTCAGTGAATCCATTTTACAAGATTATGAAATGACGTTATTATGGAATTATTCTAAAGCCAAAATTTCCTTCAATGCTGCTCTGTAAATGTCACGCCCCGTACCCTACGAAGCGCTAACATCCCTACCTTGATCGATTGCAGTGCGACGTCCCAGGAAGCGTCGCCGACCCAAACCCCAAACAGAGATCATGCACAAGCGGAAGCACGTATATAAATATATATATACACCCTGACAATAAAATACATGAGGCCAAGGTAGCACAATCAGCAAACAACACCTCTGAAAGTATGTATACTAGTAGTACCAAAGAAAACTTTTTACATAATTCATTTAGACAACAGCAGAGGAAACACACAGTCAGCAGCCACTCAGTCAAAAGGGGTCAATGAAAAACACTTCGGCTCCTCAGCTTCCTCGACCATGGCTACAGGTCCGTCCCCACAAGGGTGCACACTAGATGACCGCCGGATGAATTGCGGTATACCAAAAAGAGGCGCTTTCCTCGGCATCCTACGGCTGGGGGTCTGAAAATGTTTCGGTTTACACAACCGTGAGACGAATCTCAGTGAGTTCAACCCCTAAACCTAGGCTAGGCTAGCATGCAATCTCCTGACCGGAAACAAACATTTAAAATCATAACACAACCATAATCATACAATTCTCTGACCCTGCAGGTTAGATATTTCAATATGTAATAATCACGGGACATACGTGGCACACATTATCACACGTACGCCAATCACATGCTCATACACCGAGTCTCACACACTCGCATGCCATTCAATGCATGTTTATGCATGCAAATGTCATTGACATGTCATGCACATTTCTTTGGCCCACTGGCCCACACTGGCACACTTGCCCAATTAATTATTATTACGACTCGAGTCATCAATTTTCACGGCCCGGTGCTTCTAGCCTCGCTTCAAAGTGCATGAGGCGCAAAGATCCGATCTGGCCCAGTGTCTCTAGCCTCGCTTCAAAGTGCATGAGGCGCAACACTTTCTCCTTGCGAACCAGAGCCTGCTTCAAAGTGCATGAGGATGGTCGCCTTCCGGACGTACCGGGCATCGTCCTGCTTCAAAGTGCATGAGGACGGTATCGACCCGAAGGTCCTTAGGTGATCACACAGCTCATTATTATCTGAACCCAGCGTATAACGCTTCAAGGTATTTTAGGTGATCACATGCTCATGGCAGACACGCATTCTCGCACAATTTTCATCACATGCCTCACTCTTGGCATACGTAATGCGTGTCCATGTTATGCAATGCAATGAACCACGAGCACCAATATAATTCAGACAACCCGGGCATACCCGGCAATTTCACCGATGAACTCCTAAATTGGTCATTAAACCCTATTATCCTCCCCAACGATTTTCATTAATCCACTAAATTTTTCCGATAATAATTTCTACCAATCAATTTTCAACCCAGTCTCAATTACACACTGCTATTATCTAAGCCAGTCCAAAATGCACCGATAACACCTAAACCAGTCCGAAAAAACGCAACATCGGTCCTAATCCGGGTTTAGGAATTTTACTCACCAAAACAAGGGTCACGACGACGGGGAATGGCGGCCGATCACCGATGAACAAGTGAAACCGCGGCGGAATTCCCGCGGACGGCGGCGCGGTGCACGGACGGGTGAACAGTGATTCCGTACGGACGCGTGAATGCACCACCCCGTACGGACACACCGTGCGGACGGCCGGGAACGGTGGCCGGCGAGGCGCCGGTCACGGCGGCGACGGCCGTACGGGTGCGGATGAACAGCGACCGTACGGACGTGAGCAGAAAATTGTACGGTCACTTGTACGGATGGGCTGAACGGCGACGTATGGACATGCTTGAATAATGCCGGTGTCGACGGAGCAGCGATCGGAGTCTCCGCGAAGCTCGGCGGTACTTGTTTGTAAAACAGAAAAATGAGAAAAGAGGGAAAAAGGAGAGAGAGAGCTGTTTTTGGTCTATACCCGGGCTGTGGTGGCTGCACGAGGTGGAACTAGCTGCTGGTGGTTACGGCTCGGCGGGGACAAGACTTAGGCAGTGCTGCCTCTCCGTGAACAGTACGTAAACTTGCGAAAGTGCACGGCAAAACCGAAAAGGAAGAAAAGGGAGAAGAATTTGGGGGAAATGGGGAAGCTCTCGGCAGAATGGCTGGAGGAGAGAGAGAGGGTATGGTCAAATGGGTCAAAGATAGTCTTAGTGGAGTCCAAGTGTCATTATCCAAGCCCATTTGACAATTTTACCCTTGATCTAATGGACTAGATTTGATCAAATCCAATAATTTAGGGGTACAATGGTCTTTTGTCCCCTAACCATGGTTGACCAGACCTGGTTTAACCTTAACTCACCTTGGTTAATCCCAAAATTAAATCCAATTTTCGGAATTAATCAAAAATGGCCTAGGGGCATTTTCGTAATTTTCCGATCCCGAACCGAAATTCCAATTTTCGCACATACGCGTTCCATATATGCGTGGCCAACATGATATGGCGTCGGAATCGCAAAATTCATCGCGCAAGCCCTCGAAAATCCACGTCAAAGTTTCGGGAATAAAATAATATTATTTTTCTAATTTTCGTCGAAATTCCAATTTTTGGCCAAAACGACTCCTGGTATGCGTGGCCACCCAAAAATGGCATCGGCCACGAAAAATAACCTCATTTGGCCTCGAAAAGCGACTCTGGCATCCCGGGGGCAAAATCGTAATTTTTCACCCCCGGACCGAAATTCCAATTTTTACTCGTACTAACTCCACATGTGAGTGGCCAGCGTAATATGACGTCAGATTCCTAAAAATAGTCTCTTAAGCCTTTGAAAATCGATACCGAAATCCGGGCCCAATTCCGTGAACAAAACTCGCTAAACTTTCAATTTCAGAGTCTCTCACTAACGGGCGGCTGTTTAGAGGTTACGCGTATCGACCTAGGGCTATTCGTATCGTGATGGTCTCGATCATTGAGAGAATGAGAAATTATCATTAGTTCCCGAGGTCACAATCATTAGGTTCAAGTTCCGGACTGGTTGACCACGTGCACTTTTGGTCTTGCAGAATCACCTGCGTCCCAATCGTACATCGTTGGCCTTGGCCAAACCAAATCCGTTACCTTTCCTAAGATCGGCCCACGTTGGCCCAAAATATTTCCTCAGCGTCTCTCGTGATCGGTATCCCTTTCGCGACAGGGTCCCCGGTCCACGTACCATCTTCTAGCTAGCCATACCCTATTGGTTAGTATCCCGAGAGTGATCAGCTCTGGGTGAGACTTACTAAAATGAAATGCGAAATAATATCAGTTTCATTGATCCCGGAAATTACATCGAAATTCGGGCTGTTACAGTAAAAGACCCTATTAATATAGGTATACTTGCAGCATGTTAGTCGAAATTAACTCAGATCCTATTGCAAATTAATTTTACATGGATTTAATTCTATTAGTTGGACTTCTACACAATGAAGAGAAACGGAAGATTGCTGTAGCTAATTAAAGAGAAGGCATGATTGGATAAGGTAATTAGGAAGAAAATGAACTGAAAATAAAAAAAATAGTAACAAGGATTAAAATCTGCGTTACATCTAATTAGCAAATGAGTAAAAGATTAATAAATAGTATATTCTTTTCATAGAAAGTTACCTGTTGCCCATTGAAGAATGCAACTTGAGTGCCAACTTGGTCTTTTGATGTACTACTTGAAGCAGCCGTCCCAGCGGTGAAAAAGTTCTTGATATTTCGCAAGTCACGCAATTCTAATACATGCAAATTACTCAACTCAACTTTACCACAATCATCAACTTGCACAATCTCCTGCATTAAGTGGCACATGACAACTCGAATCTCTTCAAGCTGTGGAAGTTCTTTCAATAATGAAAGAGGAAACAAAACTTCCATCTTGTCGCAACTTTCGACTCGTACTACTTTTAATGCACTCAAGGACTTGGAGGAGATATGATTGTTGCATATCTTCTCCAAGTTGATGAGATTCTTGAGAACTAACGACTCCAACTTCTTAAAATCTGTATGGGGGGGCGATTGGAGGACGTAGTAGACGGAGGGACTATTCTCAGCATGTAGATGCTTTAATTTTCGAAAGCCTTCTTGAGACAACGCGCAAATACTGTGCTCAATTCCGCCTAGTCCGTCCAAAAATACATCGTCAGTTTTGCCTAAGAAAGTTTGTATGCATCCTTTATGAAGAATATCGCTTGTTGGATCTAACTTAAGCTGCAATGTGCTCGATCCTTTTTGACTTGGCCAGTACTGCATGTAACCTATTTGGATTTTGTACTTAGTTAATTTCTTGACATTTAGATCCTCTGGGAGAACACTCGGATCGAGAATGGACACATGAAAAGTGTATAGATTCTTCATGTTATTCAACTCAATAAGCATGGCATTAGTCGGTGGACTTTGCTCCACGGCATTCCATCGATCAAAGCTATTCTCCATATACAGCTCCTCCAATTTTATCAAGCTTCCAAGCACACCCGGTTCAATTATCTCAAGTCGTGAGCAATGGTTCAAGTCTAACAACCTCAGCTCTACCAATTGTCCAATTTCTTTTGGCAATCGTTGAACTTTGGAGTTCACAAAGCTGAGAACATGTAGCCCTTTTAGCTCGCCAATCATGGCTACATCCTCTAACAAACAACCATCAAGACACAGAGTGTGTAAATTCTCCAAGAACTTAAACGGCGAAGGTGAACGAGTGAGACGAACCTGAGAAAGATGTAAGACCATGAGCTTTCTCATAGAGCTGAAATATGAATTTGGGACCTTAAGAGATTCATTGTTAGTGAACAACAAAAAGATCTGCATTTCAGGGCAATCTAACTCTTCGGGAAGCTCCTTCATGTCAACGTAGGGAAAGCATATTGCTGTACAACTTTTGAGCTTGTCCTTGGGCAAATCTGTCACCGACTTATCATTATCTTTCAACACGAGAAGAGGGTCATCTCTTGAAGCAACCGAGGCAACAAATCCACGAACCAAATCATGTATCTTGAAACCATCAACATCTTCATCGTCTGCTAACAAAAGGGAGGAGGCTTTCAAGGTCCGGATCAGTGAGCTCAACCTATCTCTAACTTCTTCCATGCTGCTATCTTCTCGAAATAACCTCGAACCCACACCGTACCTCACCAAGTTTTCAAGAGAGGGCTTAGAGACACCATAAACAACACAGAGCCGTAACAATGACTTCGCCTCCTTGCCATCCTCCCCTTTCAAACGATCATAACTCAACTGCAACATCTCATTTATCTGCTCACTGATTCCTTTGTTTGTAGACATCTCGATTTGTCTCAAAACATCCCTCCATTCTGGAAACTTGGCGTCTTTAAAAATATTCGCCATTGCAATAATCAGGAAAGGCAAACCTGCACATTTGTGGAGTGCTTTATCCACCAAGGATTTGAATGGGTCATCATGAACTTTGTCTCCCACCGTCCTCTCAAACAATCTCTTTCCCTCTTCCTCCTTCAGCGCATCAAGATGGAAGTCCCTGTCGCAGCCCATACCCCTTCGCAAAACATCACGATCTCTTGACGTCAACAACAACTTGCATCCTATGACTTTGTTGTCATGTCCGCAAGGAATGCCCACTGATTTCAAGTCCAGCCCCTTCCACAGGTTGTCCAGTATTATGAGGACCTTCTTTTTCTCACTCACCTCATCTTCCAATCTCGCGCGCAGACGCTCCGCTCGGGAATTGACATACTCTGCATCCTTCATGTCCAGCTTCAACGCGTGCGCAATCTCTCCTTGAATCCTCTTGATGTCTTGATTTTCCGACACGTCAGCCTTAGCGACCCAATCAAACGACTTCTCTTTCCTTATTCTCCTTTCGGCATCCGCCAATAGGGTGGACTTGCCGACCCCACCCATCCCGTAAATCCCAACCACGCTATTGTTCTTATCGGCAAGAGCGGCCATGATCTCTCGCATGATCAATTCTCTGGATTTGAAGATGTCGTCATCCTTAAGCTTAATCGACATCGAGGCCGAAGAAGCGAAGGCCGTTGCGGCGGTCGACTGGACGACAACTTTGCCCTCTCTCCTGGCCGGAGTCGAAGCAGCGACATTCCCTGGAGCTGGACCGCTGGAAGAGATATCCTTGAATTGACTGCATTCTTGAGCGAGTCGCTGAATGTCCTCGATCATGTGCTTGGCCTTCCTGCTGAACTGATAGCGACAATTGGGGTCGGGAAGACTCCCGTAGCAGCAAGTCTTCGTGGCCTTTTCAAAGTCGTCCAACAGGTCTCGCGCCTCCTTCAAGGCCTTCTCAGCACTTACTTGCCACTGCGCGACATGACTATAGACATTCCGAAGATTGTTTCTAGCCACTTCCACAGCATTCTGGACCATCTCGGCCTCGTACGCCAGCTTCCCCACTTCCTTCTCAAGATCCAGGGCGTAACTCTTGGAGGACATCACATATCCGAATTGACGCTTGATGGGAACAATTACGTACTTCAAGACATCCCATAGAATAGAAACGGCAGAATCGATCGACATTTTTTTTTTTTTGTAGGAGAAACAAAGAGCGAGAAAACAGAGAGACGGAGACAGAGAATGATAAAAGAAAAGAAAGAAAGGGCAGCAGATAGTGAAGAAGAATGGCTGTGGGGAGGAGAAAGAGCGAAACAGAGCAAGATGGATGAGTGAGGAAGAAGGCGAAGAGATTCGAGTACAGAAAAGGATGAGGGATCAACGGCTGAGATTCAGTAATGGAGATTCAACGATTTGAAATAAAAGAAATTCCGCTGTCGGTCACCTTTGTCAAGCCACCAATGTGGGACTCCGTGAAAATATGGCATAGACATTCAGAAAAGGACGAGGGATCGATGGTCCTTTCCTCCGCTGCTGCTCCACTGCTACGGGACAGATATCTAATTAATGTGGACCATTAGGTGGTGAAAACGTGTCTCGACTTTTTATGTAATATCTTTCCAACCTAATTACGCCATGCCTTACCCTGCGTAGGTAATTTGTGAAATTGAAATGAACAATTCTCCACTTTCGAGCTGAAAATCTCGCAACGCCCTAACTAATTGCACCAATTTTGATGTTAAGCAAGAAATAATGTTTTATTATAACGAGCAAGTGTATTTTGTATTCTGTATCATTTTTTAAGATATTGTCCACATAAAATTATCGCACTATAGATATTCAATAATTGTACCATAGAGATGCTAAATAAGTATAATGTTAAAGTACTAGTATTATATGATAGATATTCATAATATTGGCCTCAAGACATGATTGAATGTTAGCTCTCTAAAATTCTATGCGCTTATCAGTCTCAGAGACAAACATGCCCATCAAAATTGTTGGGTTGAAAAGGTCAATTTGCCCCCAATTCGGTAGATGCATTATGGCCGTTTGAAACAATTTTGACTGAGTAAAAACAATTAAAGTCATGAGGCGCATATTCCTTGTAATTAGGTTGAGTAGAAAATTTATCTAGTTAATAAGAAATTAATGCATATAAGAATATTGTCGTGCATAATATTAGCTTAGGTGGAGCCTAGGTCGCCGCGTTTTTTTATTGGAGAATGTGTCAATCTTAGATGCGGCCATTTGTGAGAAAACTGTTATTATACAATTATAAATATAGATTCTCACATTGATTTTTGTACGTGAAGTGAGTGCATATATATATTTTTGTATAAAAAAGTACAATTTCCAAGTGAGAAAAATTACACCCAACTAAGACAATGATAACATAATCAAGTTTTGAGTCCTCTTCACAGAGACTGTTATTATTTAGTTATATAGATGTAGGCTTCAATGTGAAGTTAGTACTTAATTTTGTGTCAACAAGTTTAATTTCTCAAAAAGAAAATTTTCTTTTTGAGACTCCTTGATAAACAAATTCTGAAGATCAATTTGCGGACCCTCTCTGCCTCGTACGCCAGCGTCCCGACTTCCTTCTGAAGATCCAGGGCGTAACTCTTGGGGGATATCACGTATCCGAATTGACGCTTGATGGGAGCAAGTACGCTCTTCAAGACATCCCATGCGACAGGAAGGCCAGGATCGATCGACATTTTTTTTTTTTTAGGAGAAACAAAGAGCGAGAAAACAAAGAGACAGAGAGAGAATGATATGAAAAAGAGAAGCAGATACTGAAGAAAAAGAGGAGGAAGGATAATGGTTGTGCTGAGGAGAAGAAACATGGAAACAGAGCAAGAGAGCAAGAAGATGAAGAAGGCCAAGAATTTTGAGTGCAAACAAGGCTGAAGGAAGGGGAGGGAAGAGCTATCAATTTTAAGCATAAAAGAGCTCGGTAACCTAACCTTGGTTAAGGCCTTAACTAAACACCAGTTAATTTATTGGGTAGCTGAAAACTTGATCACATATTGCTCCTAGTGCTCCTGCTCTCCTCAATCGAGACAAGAATAGGATGGTGGACTTATGAACAATCGGGGGTAACACAAATGGATGATTTTCTGCATTTCATTATTCCATCACCAATGTCTGAGCCTCCTCCACAGCTAACGCACGAACATTGACTTTTTTTTTTTTTGGTCAGATCACAAACATTGATTAGGTATGAGAAAATTGTAAAGAGAACAAATGGACAAGGACAGCACCCCGGCCCACCATCACGTGACACACGTAGTTTTTGCCTAGAGGTAACAATATGGGATATAAACTCACTTCTTCACTCAATTTTGATGGAGAAATTACCCAATTGATCCTAATCATATTATATAAATTCTAATTTAATTTTAAATTTTTTTAATTTTGATAATTTAATTCTAAATCTCTGCACAAAATTCTTTTGTAATCCTTCCGGTCAAGGGCATCCAGTATGATCGTTAGCCGTGATACGTTGCACGGTCGGTGATATGATGTGTATAACTCTACTCAAAACAACATTATTTTGCTTATTTTTCTCATTTTTCTTACTCATTTTCTCATTTTCTATTATCTTTTCCTTCTTTCTAAATGTTCTTAACTAGCGGTTTATCCTCTCCCTTGGAAGCCCTAGCTTTTTGTTGTTTTTAGAAGATGTTGCCGCCACCGTCACTGCTGCTGTAAGCCGCCACTACCATCACCAACAACTCGACCACTGCCGTAAAGATCAAACTGAGCCATCGCCACCGCAACCACCATCATACAGAAGCCGCCATCGCGTTTCTCTCTCTCTCTCTCTCTCTCTCTCTCTCTCTCTCTCTCTCTCTCTCTCTCTCTCTCCTTAGTGTTGTGGTCGACCTCCATTAACGGAGCTCGCCTCCTGGGACTGAGGTGCGACGCCTCACTTGAGGTTGTGCGCATTACATATGAGGTCGCTCGAGTGCCTCCATTAATGGAGGTTGACGGTGATTGACAGATGATGCTGATGAAGCACCGAATTAGCGCATTTAGGAAGGTAATGGTTTAGCTGGCGTAGCTCGTCCATGCGTGCCAAATCATGCCGTGTCTCTCCTTCAAATCATCTTCGTCTTCACCACCCAATTCGCCCGTGGAACAGGACCTTGATTCCCATCCACCGCCGGCGCTGGGTAAGTCTCTTCTACTCCTTATTTGAAGGATGATTTCGCTTCGCGCTCAATGTGTTTGCGAGAATGCCTCGACGAACTTGGAGTTGCAACGACTTTGCCAAGTGGCACGCCAAGATCGAGCCAGGCGGTCTCACCCACCGTCAATCTCAGTTGAGAGGACACTCTCGCTCTTCAAACAGATTCTTATTACGAGATTCGCTCCCCGATTTACGTTCTTGAATGCAGTCAAGGCAAGCAGGAAGTGCATTCCCAAGAGCAAAACTAATTTTTATGGTGGTGGTTGCTTTGTTGGTGATGGCGGTGGCAGCTTGCGGCGACAGTGATCAGAAAACTTGCCTGGGATGAAGATGACGAGGAAGAAGATAAACGAGCGAAAAAGGAAAGAAAAGAAAATTTAAAGATACAATTAAAAAAATTCAGAAAAATCTACAAAACGACGTTGTTTAAATGCAATTCTTCAAGATGCTGACCGTGACATGTAAGACAGCCGGCACTGACTGGATCTCTACATCAATATTTTTGGCCAAAATTTGCCTGAAAAATTATATCGAAAAATTATCAAAAAATTTAATATTAAATTGATAAAATTAAAAATTATTTAATTAAATAATACTGCTCCAAGCTGTCACTTGCAAGAAATAAAAATAAAAAAAGGCCGATGTCCACAACGCCTTTTTGCTAGAATATCTGATTATCAATAGCCGAGATTTAGTACTAGCGATCCAACGATTAGAAATAACAAAGACCTAAACCACGAGGATGAAAGAGGAGATGGGCATGGACTGTAGAGCTCAGTAACCAAACCTTCGTTATGGCCTTAACTACACGCCAATCTATTCCTTGAGAAGCTAAAAACTTAGGGGTACACCCCTGCAAGTCGTCACCTTTATCGAGACTAGAATGATGGACTTGCAAACAATAGCAATGGGCAAACATTTAATTGACCAGTCACCATCACCAATAATTTAGTCTCCATCCTTTCCTTCCCCGCTAATGGGCAAACATTTTCCATCCTTTCCTCCACCACTAAAGGACAAACGTTGATCATGTCTCCATGTTAGTAATTTATATATTGCATAGCAATTTATGATAAATTTCCATTTATTGACATATTGGGCTTGGGCTTGGGCTAACTTAGACCCTTATATCTAATTAGTGTTGACCCTTAGTTGAGAATAAGTATTGACTTTTTATGTATTATCTTTCAAAATTTCATATATTTATTGATAGAAAGCCCCTCAAATCATCCCTTTAAGTGAATAAAAGACTCAATTCATAAGGAAAAATGGAAGTTGTCTAATTTTTTTTTGCCAACCATAATTGTTAGATTAGAATGCCAAATAACTCACTAAATACCTATAACTTCTGTTATGACTATTCGCAAAGGTTATGACTATTTTCTAACAATTTTTTTTTTACTAATTAAAGTCATGAAGGACATTCTCTATATGATTAAATTGATAAGGACCTTTTGCAAATTTTTTTTGACTAATTTAAGTCAGAGTTTATTTATTTCCATTGTTATCAAGCCTTTGATTTGTGGGTTAAAAATATGGACATATGCAAATTTAGCTAAAAGTACAGTTCATGTTCAATTGTCCTGTTTGCCACTTAACCATGGTTAAGGCCTTAACTAAATACCAGTCAATTTCTTTGGAAGCCGAAAACTTAGTAGGAGACTACTCCAAGTCTTTCACTAGACAAAAGGAAAAAATAAAGAAAAACCGTTGTCGGTCACCTCAATCTAGACAACAGTTAGGACCTATGTCTAAGTCTCCACCCTTTCCTCCACTAACAATGGACAAACGTTGATTAGGTATCCATCCTTTCCTCCACCAATATAAACAAGGGTTAATACCACGAAAAACCCTAAACTGGTACATTTGTGACACATTTACCCCAAATTATTTTTTTGACCATAAAAAACCCCAAACTGATACACCTGTGACAATTTTATCTGAACTATTTTTTTGACTATCAAAAACCCCAAACTGGTACACCTGTGACAATTTTACCCTGAACTTACCACAAAAAACC